GTCCATTTTACTGTCAGGAACCTTGTGCCACAGTGCTTTTATCTTTGAGTAGAAATATGTTTCCCCATAATGTTGGTCTGTGGATACCAGTTCTTATCTCTGGAAAAATGCAGTCCTTCAGTATCTGGAGACATTTGCTTTTTGTCTGTTTTCCCACTAGAATGTCTTTCCTACTTCCAAGGGCAGATGTTGCTTCTTCTCTAATGTTCCTTCAGCACCTTCCCAAAGTTGTGAAACTAATAGGTAATAGAGTTGAAATTTAAACCCAAGTGTATCTATAGTAACTTTGATTTTTTGTTGTTGTTGTTGTTTTTTTCTAATAAAACTTTTTAATTCTCAGATGCAGATAAAGTCAAGAAGAAGAGATTAGGCTAGGATTTACTGAGTGTCTACCTCATGCCCAGTATTGTGTGGGCATTTATAGATATAGTCCTATCTCCTGTTTACAACAACCATATAAGCTAGGCACTCTTACCCACACCTTACAGATGAGGAAAATAAGGCAAAGCAAGGCTTGGTTACTGCCAGTGGTCCTGTGGGTATGGTGAGTGGATTGGAGCACTGGTCACCCTGGCAATGACCTTCTGGTTTCCAGCTCTTTCCTTCATATGCAAATATTTCATTAAAATGGTGAAAGTTTTAATAAAACTATCCAACCTTTCCCCTGTGGATCTCGTGGAGAACCCAGTACTGGAGGCCAAGCTCTAATATCAGTGGCTTTTAGAGAACACAGAGGAAGGTCAGTGGTCTGGAATATCAACCCTGGTCTAAGTGCAAGGATAATTCTATTACCTCCTAAGACTACTAAGAATATGCTGATAGTGGTCCCCTACCCCCACAGCATTCTATTTATCAAAATACAAACAAACAAACAAAAACACCCTCAAATAAAAAAACACTGGCAATTAATACTGCCAATAAGTGTGCGATCCCCTTTGTGGATATTTCTTCACAAGACCATAAAAAGAAGAAGACTTAATTCGGATGTAAAACTTTTATCTTAGAATTAATTTTGTCATGAAACACATCACTGCTTTATTTGAGAAGTGCCAAAACCTAACCACTAGACCACCAAGGAGCATCATCACTGCATCCTTTGAAATTATACTTTTGTATTTGAAATAGTACTGTTGCCTTCTACCATCTCAATGCTCCTTTCAACAGAATCAGAAATAGCACACATTACCACAGGGTACTTTTAAATGCACATTTGATTGTGCAGTGACATCAAGTGGCTGGTTGAGGAACAGCTATATGCTATTAAAATATTTTTTAAAAAATTCACAGAGCCAGGCTAAATACCATATTTGTAAGTTAAATACCATATTTGATACTTTCATCTGGTGAGATTTCAGAGAATTAAAAGGAAACTTACAGAAACCTGACTTTAATCTATCTTTTAAATTTATATGTTTTCCATCATAGGAATAGGATTTCTTAGAGAAATGGCTAATTCTTCCTCTAGAATAAAAAATAGTGCTTGAAAATAGAAAGTGACCAAAGACTATTAGAGTCATGTTAAAAAGACTGAGAAATCAACTTAAAGAGGCTGTACTGGCCCAAGGGACAATATGAGCATCAATAAAAAAATTTTCAAAGAAAGGAAACACATCAGGCATGTTTAAATTCATGTGTTTCTGTTGCTACTCAAAAAACAAAGACAATGACAACCTCACCTTTGGAGGAGGTCAAGGAATTAAATTATTATTCCAAAGTCTGGCAAATAAAAGAAGGTATATCAAGCACTGATCTTGCTTTTTCTGTATGACTCTACCTTTGCAAAACCAAACAAGAGATAAGGGAAGCTTCTCATTATTTAAGTATTTCAGCTAATAAATGAAGAAGGAAACAGAACATTACTAATTTGCAAGCTCTAATGAATAAGACACCTACCTTAACTCTGGTCACTAAATCACAAGAACAGAGGTAACCAGACACTGTGACCTTGATGGGAATATACATCACCACCTAGGAAATATTCTTGCCCCGAATCCTAAAACCTGAATCTGAACACATCTCTAGTTTCAGATGCTTTAATTTATAGGCAACCAAAGGAGGCAGAGGGACATGTAAAAGTGCCACAGAAATAAAGTCAGCAAAATCTTGACTGTGGGAAATAGGACAAATGATTCATAAATTACAAGGAAAAATGAACAAGCACCATGGTGAGAAAAGCCATGGATTGTAAAAGTTCAAAAACATACCAATAGGGGACTGGGTTTGTGGGTCAGTGGTAGAGCACTTGCCTAGCATGGGAAAGGCATTGGATTCAATCTTTAGCACCACATAAAAAAAAATAAATAAAATAAAGTTATTTAAAAATACACACACACACACACACACACTAACAGGCCAAGTGCAGTAGCACATGCCTGTAATCACAGCTATTCAGGAGGCTGAGGCAGAAGGATCACAAATTCAAGGTCATCCTGGCCAACTTAGCAAGATCCTATCTCAAAATAAGAATTGAAAAGGTCTGGGATATAGCTCAGTGGTAAAGTGCCCCTAGGTTCAATCTCTAGAACCAAGAGGGGGTAAAATATACCAACCACTTGCAATGGATGGATATTACTTGGATCCAGATTCAAACTGTCAAAACAAACTGTAAGATAATGGGAGAAGTCCTAACACTGTCTGTTCTATGTTATTAAAACATTAACAAATTCCTATTAAATTTTTAGGAGTAGTAAGGGATTATGATTATATTTTTAAAAAAATCTTCACTAGTCACACTAAAATATTTATGAATGAAATAATATAATGTTTGAAATTTGCCTAAAATTAATCCAAGGTGGTATCATGTCAACACATGACACAAAACTGCCACTGAGTTAATTTTCAATGGTGAGTGCTGGGTACGTATGGCTTCATTGTCTTATTTTCTATAAGTTGAAAATTCCCATACTAAAAAGTTAAAAGAAGTAGGGCTAGGGATATGGCTCAAGCGGTAACGCGCTTGCCTGGCATGCGCGGGGCGCTGAGTTCGATCCTTCACACCTCATTAAAATAAAATAAAGAAGTTGTGCCAACCGAAAACTGAAAAATAAATATTAAAAATTTCTCTCTCTCTCTCTCTCAAAAAAAAAGAAAAGAAAAGAATTGTGTCAACTCTTCACTGTGGCTCTGGTCTAACAAATAATGAGAAATTAGCCTCATCAGTAGGAAGTCTTAAGTGAACTAATTTGGGTCAACCTCACTCCTAATGAAACAAGAGGCAATGAGAAAAGAATAATTACTGAAACCTACTACAGATTATAAACACTAATTTATAAATAATATCTTAGTAAATACTGAAAGACATTCTTTAACAATAATCTTACAAAATAAATTATATTATCAGTGCTTAGCAGATGTGGAAACTTAAGTTTTTTTAAAAAAATATTTTTTAGTTGTAAATGGACACAATATCTTTATTTTATTTATTTATTTTTATGTGGTGCTGAGGATTGAACCCAGTGCCTCACACGTACAAGGCAAGCTCTCTACCTCTGAGCTACAACCCTAGCCCCATGGAAACTGGCCTTAAAGGGGCCTAATAACTTCCCAAGTGTCATCCTGCTACTAAGGAGCAGAGCTAAGAATCGCACTATAAAATACTAGCTTGTTATATTGTACCAGGCTGCCTCGCAAAGCACAGGAAAGAGAATGGGAAAGACAGAGCAGAAATAAGGATGAGACCAGCAGATATTCAAGGTGCAAGACAAGGAGGTGCTCACTTTTAGTGCCTACCCTGCACTTGGAAGACTATGAGACTGAATGCTTCTTTAAATTTTGTATCCTATGGCTGAGGATATAGCTGGGTTTGATCCTCAGCACAAATAAAATAAAATAAAATAAAATAAAATTGTACCCTAGGTGATTCACTTTCCTACCCAGAGAAAAGACACTGCTTAATCAGAGTCTGCTTTCTCTGCAGCTTCTGCATTGAAGGCTGGGAAGTCTGAACCAGGTCTGGATTAGAGGGAAACAGGAGTTGGAGGCTCCCAGGCCAGCTGTGCAGTTGCATTGTGTCCACTGTCCTCTGGGAGGCTCTGTGGCCTAAGGATGCCACAGTAGGAAGGTTTAAAGCATTGTGCTATCTCCAGGGAAAGCTGGCCCAAGGTCAGCCTCAAAGTTGGAGTAGGTAAGCCAAATAACCAAGTTTGGAGGTCCTGGGAGTGGACCAAAACTCTGTCCAGTGCAAGATTATATGTAGTTATTTTTCATGAGGTTGTTGTAGAAAAGAACCAACCCACGGTTACCACTGGTCAAAATCCTGTTCTTCTCTTGTACCTGGTCCCGTGCCAATCACACAGGAGGATTTTAACAAGTGGGGAGTTACTAACCATTTAGAAGAGACTTGTTTACTGGGTAATGATTGGGGCTCAGGGATAAATACATGTAACAGGGCTGTGGGCATAGCTCAGAGGTACATTGCGTGCTCAGCATGCATCAAGCTTGGAGTTCAATCCCCAGCACTGCCAAAAACAATACAAACAACAAATATGCAACCATTTGTTTCTGCTACATTCTACAGTCAAGGGAACATGACTCTGAATGAGGTCTTGGAAATAGGATCAAAATGACAATAGCATGAATGCATGCCACAGACTATGAACAACTAGGGATATGGAAGCCCAGCTCTGGCAAATGTTCTTTGCCCTTCTGGCATTCAAAGGGAGTGTGGGGTGAAAATCAGGTATTCTCCAGCTTTTCATATTTCCCATGCATACGTGACCCCAAACCACAGCTTGACTTAGATATTCTGAGTATCTTAGAACGCAGCTAGTGTTACCCACCAGTTTGGCAACTGGCCAATGCAAGTATTCAGAGAAATTACAAATGTCTGTGTGCTGCAACCTGAGGAAATTAACATGAATAATTGTTAAGCTTCAATATTTCTTACTTGAATTAATTCAGCAACAACAAAAAGCCAATACAAGTGCTAACTGGAGATAATCTAAGGAGTGGCAATGGAAATCAAGTGCTGCCCTTGGATGCCTTCAGAAAAGTTTCCTTACGTGGAGTAGACAGTGATGCTTTCCCGCTCCTCAATCTTGATGCTTTCATCATTGGGAATTGGTGGGTTGCTTTGAAACTGGTTTGGGATCCGGAACCAGACTTTTAATTTCTTCTGTAAAGAGCCATCTTCATTGGGGAATACAGCAAAGGAAATAGGGACTGTCATCCCCATTCCAATTCCTGAGAACATAAAAACACAGAATGAAGTAGGTATTAGAGACAGAGCTTGCTCAGGGCAATGGAAAACACACTAACTAGTATCATTTTTCTTTCATGCTAATATTTTTTGTTCTTGAAATTAAGAACAGGGTTGGGGTTGTGGCTCAGTAGTACAGCACTTGCCTTGAATATGTGAGGCACTGGGTTTGATTCTCAGCACCATATATAAATAAAAAATAAAGGTCCATCAACAACTAAAATAGATATATAAATAAAATTTTAGAAAGAACTAAAAAGACTATGATATTTTAAAAAAAAGAAATTAGAAAGATGGTGGAATGTGATAGACATCATTAACCTAAGTACATGTATGAAGACATGAATGGAGTGAATATACTTTATGTACAACAAGAGATATGAAAAATTATGCTCTACATGTGTAGTATGAATTGGAATGCATTCTGCTGTTATATATAACAAATTAGAATAAAAAAAGAAATTAAGAACAAATAATTCAGGCACTAAACTATATAGTTAGACAAATGCAAACAACTTTTATTTTTATATATATTGGAGGTAGGAATATGGTGGTACAATTCTTAAAAAAGATTATTTGGCAGTATGTCTCTAGACTATAGACATATCAATATTTAATTACTTCCTATCTAAACATTACTTTTAGAAAATAACCCAAAATATGGAAAAGGCTATACATAACAGGATATTCAGAAGCAGAATTTATAATTCTGTTCAAACCGTCCCCCCACAAAAAAAAACCCTGAAAACCCTAGGAATCCCAGCAGCTTGGGAGGTTGAGACAGGAGGATTTTGAGTTCAAAGCCAGCCTCAGCAAAAGTGAGGTGCTAAGCAACTCAGCAAGACCCTGTCTTTAAATAAAATACAAAATAGGGCTGGGAATGTGACTTAGTGGTCAAGTGCCCCTCAGTTCAATCCCTAGTATCCACCTACCCCCCCAAAACCCCAGGAATATATCTAAGTAAATCATGGGCACATGATACAATATAATGTAGCTATGAGAAACTGTGTGATTAAGAAAACTATTTAGAAATAGTAGAAAGTAATCATGAAATAATAATTTAACAGAAGTAAAATATACTATTGTAAGATTATTAAGATTACATTAAGGGGCTGGGATTGTGGCTCAGTGATTGAGCTCTTGCCTCATACATGTGAGGCCCTGGGTTCTGTGGGCTGGGGATGTGGCTTAAGCGGTAGCGCGCTCGCCTGGCATGTGTGCGGCCCGGGTTCGATCCTCAGCACCACATACAAACAAAGATGTTGTGTCCGCCGAAAACTAAAAAATAAATATTAAAAAAATAAATAAATAAAAAATAAAAAGCCCTAAAAATATCTTCAAAAGACAACAATGATTGCTCTAGAATGTGATCATTAGAGATACTACTTATTTTCAGGATTTTTTAGAATAAATGTTATAATTTTTGTTCATATATTCATCTAAGAAGATACTATGAAAATACTAAGGAAAAAATATTTCTTCTTGACCTCCTCTCTGTCAACTTATTTTCCAATCCAAGGTCTGATTACTTTGTTCATAGAAAATGTTACTACAGTTAATACCATTTTCTTTCTGAATTATCAGCTTGAGCAACAACCTAAAAATTAAACCCAATATCTCTTTTTTCACTTGCTTTCTGACTCATATTTAGTTTGCAGTGATTCCAAAGTGCTGACCAAATTAGAAAGTTTTCTTAAGAGTTCAACATTTTAAAATATGGTTTATATTCAAATATGTGGACCTTACATGAAACTCAGACCTATCATTTTGAAAATGAGGAGTCACAGCATGGACTGCCAAGTCTTTTAAAAGTGGAGTGACCTAGTTGGGCTGGGTGGCACACTCTTGTAATCCCAGAGACTTGGGAGGCTGAGGCAGGAGGATTCCAAGTTCAAAGCCAACCTCAACAACTTAGTGAGGTCCTAAGCAACCTAGAAAGACCCTTTCTCTAAATAAATATAAAAATGACTGGTGATGTGGCTCAGTGGTTAAGTATCCCTGGGTTCAATCCCCAGTATTAAAAAAAAAAAAGTGTGAAATATCCTAAGAATTCTCAGACACTTCTATTACCAAAACAAAGTCTGGAACCTATTATCCCCATAGGTCACTAGGTCTCAGTATCTAGCAGGGTCTGAGCTACCAGGAGTTGGTTTGGTATTTCCAATCTGATGCCACCATGGAGGTCTCAAGTCAGATGCTGGCCTTGCCTTGCACTGGGGCTTGGCTTACCTGGGTATACCTCACTCAGTCAACCATTCCAAAGACACAATGAACACTGTAAGTTTAAAAAAAGGGGGCGGGGAGCCTATGGCTACAAATTAGGAAAAACCCATGAACTGACTCATACAGAACAGGGAACCTCATAGTGAGGGATAGCTGGGCTGACATGAGAGTGGCTCCTGCTGAACTCCCTTGTTCAGGCAGCAACAGGAAGCTCACATGATACTGAAATAGATAGGGGAGCCTTGTAGCCCCCACTTATGTTTTCTCCTGATGAAGTGAGATCATGCTGTGCATGCCTCTGAGACCAGATCCACATCCCACAGGGAGACTCACCCTTGTCATTGGTACCTCCCACATACTTCATGACCTTGGGCATTGCTTCCCGTAGAGCCTCATCTACAGGCTTCTCTGTCACTTCCACAGTGGCAAACTTCCCCCCTTCACAGGCTCTTTCCTCATAGGAGACTTCTTCCTAGAGATTTAGGAGACATTGTAATTGAGAGGTATAAAGTATCAGTCTATGCCAGTTATAATAAGAAGTACAAAATTCTAAAGAACTTTCCATAATGGATATGGTGAGAGTACAGAAGAGACAGGTCTGAGTATGATGGACCATCAGAAATAGATTCTTGGATTCCTTTGAATGTAGAGATACCAGAAGCTGAAAACAAACAAACAAACAAACAAACCCCAAAACAAAAATCAAACAAAAAAATTCTCAGATTTGATATTCTCAGGGAAATAAGAGAACAAACTGCATTCTAAAACAATGGATACTATAAAAATGGAACACTCAAAGATCAAAACAACTCTTGGAAATAAAAACAATCTGATAAGAGAGATGAAAAATTCCATAGAAACCTTGGAATATAAAATTACAGGAAATCTGCCAGAAAGTAAAGTGAGGAAGTCCAAAATAGAAAAGAAAATAGGAGGCTTAAGCCAGGAATCTATCATCTGACTAACAGGAGAGCCAGAAAAAGAAGGAAAACATGGAAGGGAGGAAACAAAAAATACAGTACTAACAATAGTCCCACAGAAGTCAAAGGCCCCCAAATCAGCCATTCCATTATCAGAGCTGTCCTGGTCACACCACACTCCTGGACACGACGTCTTTCCCTCTTTTTTAAAAAAATAATGCATTATTTTTATTATAAAAATTAACTCATGTTAATTAATTGCAAAAATTAATGGGTTTCACTGCGACATTTCCATTCTTTAATCATATCCACTCTCCCTATGACCCTCTCTTGCCCTCTCCTCTCCCCCTTCCCCCAGTCCTCTTCCCCTTCCCTAATAAACCTTATCTCTCATTCACACATAAAAAAAAAAATGGATGAAAGACTTTAAAGTGAGACCTGAAACTTTGAAACTACTAGAAGAAAATATAGGGGAAACACAGTAAGATACAGGCCCAGGCAACACTATCCTGAAGAGAACTCTAAAATTAGCTCAGGATATAAAACCAAGATTTGACAAATGGGATTACCTCAAATTAAAAAGTAAAGAAAACACCAGAATAAAGGTACAACCTACAGAATGGGAGAAAATTTTTACTAGGTATTCATCTGACACAGGATTAATATCCAGAACATATAGAAAGCTCAAGGCAGTTATCAATAAAAGAATAAATAACCTAATCAATTAAGACAAATGATCTGAACAGACTCTTCTCTTTTTTCCATATTTTTCTTTGTATTATAATACACACAGGTGGAATTTGTTGTTACATATTTGTACATGCACACATTACAATAATATAATTTGGTCAATATCATTCCCCAAGTATCTTCCCTTTCTATCCTTTCCTCTCTACCCTCCCCACCCCAGGTCCCTTTCTTTTACTCTACTCTCTCCCTTAGATTTTCATGAGATCTCCCATTACCACCTTTCCCCCCTTTTTCTGCTCCAGCTTCTACATATGAGAGAAAACATACAACCCTTGACCTTCTGAATTTGGCTTATTTTGCTTACCTTCAAGTTCCATCCATTTACCTCAAATGTTATACTTTCATTTTTAAATGTTATAATTTCATTCTTCTTTATGGCTGAATAAAACTCCATTGTATCTATACTACATTTTGTTTATTCATTCATCCATTGATGGACACCACCAATGGCTGGTTCCATAGTTTGGCTATTGTGAATTATGCTGCTATAAACATAGGTATGCGTGTATTACTATAGTATGCTGACTTTGATTCTATAGGTAGATACAAAGGAAAAGTATAGCTGGGCCATATGGTGATTCCATTCCTAGTCTTTTGAGGAACTTCCATATTGATTTCCATAGTGATTGCACTATTTTACAATCCCACCAATAGTGTTAATGTGTTCCCTTTTCTCCACATCCTCTCCAACATTTATTATTTTTGTATTCTTGATGGTTGCCCTCTGATCTGGAGTGGGATGAAATCTCAGTCTAGTTTTGACTTGCATTTCCCTAACTGCTAACGAAGTTGAAAATTTTTTCATATGTTTATTGGACATGTATATTTCTTTTTTTGAGAAATGTGTGTTCAGTTCATTTCCTCATTGGGTTACTTGTGAGCTTTTTGTGTTTTAAAGTGTTTGGAATTCTTTATGTATTCTGGATATTAATCTTCTGTCTGAAGAGTGGCTAGTAAAATTTTCTTCCGTTTTGTAAGTTTTCAATCACATTCTTATTTGTTTACTTTGCTATGCAGAAACTTTTTAATTTGATGCTGTCCCACTTACTAGCTCATGGCATTATTTCCTGAGCTTTAGGGGTCCTATTGAGAAAGTCATTGCCTGTGTCTATATCCTGCAATATTGACTCTGTTTTTCTCTAGGATTTGCATGGTTTCTGGTCTAATTCCTAGGTCTTTTATCCATATTGAGTTGATTTTTGTGCAGGATAAGAGATAAGGATCTAGTCTCTTTACTCTGTATATGGATAATCAGTTTTTCCAGAACCATTTGTGAAAAATGCTGTCTTTTCTCCAATGTATGTTTTTGGCATCTTTGTCAAGGATAGACAACTCTTCTGGGTCGATTTGTCCCTGTGTCTTCTGTTCTGTACCACTGGTCTATGTGTCTGTTTTATGCCAGTACCATTAATGTTTTGATACTATAGCTCTGTAGTATAATTTGAAGTCAGGGATTGTGATGCCTCTAGCACTGCTTTTTTTGGCTGAGAATTGCTTTGGCCATTCTGGGTCTTTTATTCTTCCAAATGAATTTTAGGACTTTTTTTTTTTTTAAGTTCTGTGGAGAATTTCCTTGATTTTTTGATGGGGATTTCACTGACTCTGTATATTGCTTTTGGTACTATCACTTAAACAATATTAATTCTGCCTATCTATGAACAAGGAAGGTCTTTCCTTCTTCAAACATCTTCTTCAATTTATTTTTAATTTTTATTTTTTTGTAGTTGTAGATGGAAAGAATGCCTTTATTTTATTCGTTTATTTTTATGTGGTGCCGAGGATCGAACCCATTGCCTCAAGCATGCAAGGCAAATGCTCTACCACTGAGGTACAACCCCAGCTGTTCAATTTCTTCCTTCAGCGTTTTATAGTTTTCATTTTAGAGGTTTTCCACCTCCTTGGTTAGATATTCCTAGATATTTTAATTTTTTGAGGTGACTATGGATTATTTTCCTGATTTCGTTCTCAGTAGATTCACTATTGGTGTACAGGAAAGCTACTGATTTCTGTATGTTTATTTTGTAACCTGCTACTTTGCTAAATTTGTTCGTTAGCTTTAGCAGTCTTCTGGTGAAGCTTTTTGGATCTTCTAATTATAGGATTATATCATGTGAAACAGTGATAATTCGATTTCTTCCTTTTGTGTTTTTATTCCTTTAATTTCCTTCTTTTAACTAATTGTGCTGGATAAAATTTCTAGTGCTCTATTGAATAGGGGTGGTGAGAGTAGACATCATTCTCTTTGAATGGAAACTTCTCAAGAAAAATGTGATGGCCAATAAATAAATAAAAATGTTTAACTCCTTTACCTATCAGGGAAATGCAAATCAATACTACACTGAAATTGTACCTCACACCAGTCTGAATTGCTATTATTAAAAATAATGCTGGTGAGGATGTGGAGAAAAAGGAATCCTTATATACTGTTGGTGGGAATGTTAAATCAGTACAGCCACTATGGAAAACAGTATGGAGTTTCCTCAATAACTAAAAACAGAGCTACCATATGATCCAGCTGTACTTGCCCCGGGGATATATCTGAAAGAAATGAAGTCAGCATACAAAAGAGATACTGGTACACCTATATTTATTGCAGCAAAATTCACAATAGTTAAGATATGGAATAAGTCTAGGTGCCTGTCAATCGATGATTGGATAAAGAAATATAATAGAGTATTATTCATCCATAAAGAATGAAATCATTTCATTGAAGGAAAACAGATGGAACTGGAGGACATCAGGTTAAAGTAAGTAAGCCAGACACAGAAAGATTAGTATCACATGTCTTCTCTCCTATATGGGGGGGGGGGAAAAGATGTCCTTAAGCCATTTTCTTTGTAGGGATTAAGCCCAGGGCCTTACACATGTAACCATATGCTCCACTACTGAGATACACCCCCAGCACCTCTACTCCCTAACTCTTATCTCATGTGTGGTAGCCTCCCAAGCCCTTAGTGATCAGGTCTACTCTCTTCCCACACAAACCCTTCCCTCACCCTCCTCACCACCACTCTCTGCACTAAGTTTCTGTCCTAAATCCACTACCCTCTCCCTGGTGTCTGGATTCATGGCAACTCATGCAGCTTTCCTTCAGAATCCCAGCCCCCTTTTCCTTGCCATGTGATGTCTCATAGGATATAATTTTGTATTGCTGGACATTTAGTAAGGTAAACTTTAAAAGAATCACAGTCCACACCAAAAAAATATTTCTACATCTTGCCTTATCATGAATATACACATGCTTAAACTAAACCAAAAACAACACTTTACCCTTAGGGATGGGGTGTATTCTGATTCTTTTTCTCTGTCCTGTTTTCTCCGACTCTGCTTGAGTGAATTTTATTCTATTGTACTAAAGAAGAAAAGTTGGTCTATATTGATTTTACAGTCTGCTAATGGAAAACTGTTACAGTTTGACAAATCTACAATGAAGTATATGCGGACAGGAACTATACCACAGAGCTTTATATGATAGAAGCTCAATAGGTATTTATTTGATTAAGGAGCTTCCTCTTCTACTAATGATTAGGAAAAACAGACACACCATAGAGCACCTGGCTGCCTCAGGTTGGTCAAACAGGCTTCCCTATGTATCCTAGACTGAAGATTCTCAACTAGGTAGGAGAGCCTGTGAGTGGCCTGTGCAGTTCAAACAAATGTATTTAATATTATAACTATATCTGGAATGCAAAAACACCTATCATGTTTGTGATGTAAAATTAAAGGTGAATAGTGAGAAAGAGGTCAGGGTCACCTGACACCAAACCCTGAGTGTCAATTTCATGCTTATACTCTCCTAGAC